ATACTGACCAAGAGAAAAAGAGAGACTCAAATTACTAAAATCAAGAATGAGAGACGCCTGAGTGGCTCAGTGGTCGGGCAACTGCCTTCAGCACAGGTCATGATCCTGGGATGGGGGATCGAGTCCCACATCGGGGCTCTTGGGAAGACTCTGCTTCTCCCTCTGCCTATGTCTCTGCCCCCCTCTCTCTGTGTCTCTCATGAATAAATAAATAAATCTTAAAAAAAAAAAAAAGAATGAAAAAGAGGTCATTACTACTGACTTTCCAGAAATAAAAAGTTACAAGGGAATGCTATGAACAACTGCATACCAACAATTTTGATAACCTGGCAGAAATGGACAAATTTCTCCAAAGATACAAACTACAAAACTGACTCAGAAAGACTAGAAAATCAGAACAGATTTCTACAAGAGACTGAATCAGTAATCAAAACCTCCTATCAAAGAAATGGTTTCACTGATGATGCCACCAAATACTTAAAGAATTAACACTAATCCTCCACAAACTCTTCCAAAAAGTGTAAAATGAGGGACACTCCATAACTTATTCTATGAGACCAGTATTACTCTAATACTAAAGCCAGATAAAGATATCAAAAAGAAGCTACAGACTTATATTTCTTATGAATAGAGATGTAAAAACACTCAACAAAATACTAACAAACTGAATCCAACAACATAGTAAAAGGATTATACACCATGACCAAACAGGATTTATCCCAAGAATGCAAGAGAGATTCAACATTAAAAAAAAAAAAAAATCAATGTACCACACCACACAAGTAAAGCAAAGGGGAAGAAACCCCACATGGCCACCTCAACTCAGGTAACACTAACCAACTCACTCTGAGGTACTATTCTCATAACAAAACCAAAAACATCACCAGAAAAATAACAGACCAATATCTCTTGTGAATACACATGCAAAAATCATAAACAAAATACTAGCAAATAGAATCCAGCAACATATAAAAAGGGTTACACACTATAAATAAATGGGATTTATCCCACAAATGCAAGGTTGGTTTATATCTCAAAATTAATTAATGTAATATCCACATAAATACAATAAGGGATTAAAAACCACATGATCATCTCAACAGATGCAGAAAAAGCATCTGAAATACTGAACACACTTTCATAATAAAACCAGTGAATAAACTAGGAATAGAAGGGAACTTCTTCAACCTGATAAACAACTATGAACTTCCCATAGCAGGGCATGAGCATGCCAGTTGTTCCCCCTCACCAATACACGGTATGGTTAGTCTTTTTCATTTTATATATTCCAATAGGATGATTCAATTTTGCAGTTTTAGTTCATATTTTTCTAATGGCTAATGTTAACTATCTCTTCGTGCGCTTATTTGCTTTGTGCGTACCATCTTTTGTGAAGTATCTATTCATTTACTTATTTTTTAATTGGACTGTTTGCTTTCTTATCTAAAGACTTCTTTATACAATTTGGGCACTTTTTTTAATGAGATACATGATTTTCAGATTTTCTGTCTGTGGCTTTTCATTCCCTTAATAGTATCTTTGAAAAACACGTGTTCTCAATGTTGCTGAAGTCCAATTTATCATTTTTTTCTTTTATGTATTATGCTTTTAGAATAGTATGTAAAAAATCTTTGCCTAACCAAAGTCACAAAGATCTTTTTTCCTATGTTTTCTAAGAATTTTATAGTTTTGCATTTTATATTTAGGCTTATGACCCATTTTGGGTTACTTTTTAAATATAGTGTATACATCAAAATTCATTATATTGCATATGGATATTCTGTTGTTTCATCATTATTTTAAAACATTATCCTTTTCTAATGAACTGCCTTTGTACCTCTGTCAAAAATTGACCATAGGTGTGATCTATTTATGGAATTCCTTATTCAGTTTCACTGAATGCTAGTACCACACACTACCTTGATTACTATAGCTTTATTATAAACCTTAAAAGCAGTTATATTAAGTCCTCTAGCTCTGTTCATCTTTTCCCGTCGGTCTGACTCTTCAAGGTCCAATAGATTTCCATATGAATTTTTGAATCAGCTTGTCAATTTCTACAAAAACTTCTGCTGGGATTTTGATTGAGATTATCCAAATCTAAAGACCAATTTGGATAAATTACCTTCTTTGATAGTTTGTATTTTTCAAGGAATTTGTCCATTTCTTCTAAGTTATCAAATGTATTGGCACGAAATTATTTGTAGTATTCCTTTAATATCTGTAGAATCTGCAGTGATGTTACCAGTAATATCACTGCAGATACCAGTATCAAGAATTGGTAATTCCTGATAATTGGCATTTTCTCCCTTTCTATTTTTTTTTTAAGATTTTATTTATTTATTCATGAGAGACCCACAGAGAGAGGCAGAGACACAGGCAGAGGGAGAAGCAGGCTCCATGCAGGGAGCCCGGCGTGGGACTCAATCCCCAGTCTCCCAGAGTCTCCCAGGATCACGCCCCCGCCCGAAGGCAGGAGCTAAACCGCTGAGCCACCCAGGGATCCCCTCTCCCTTTCTTTCTAAGAGACAGGTTCTCTTCCTAAGAGAACATGATGCCAAGTGTATATATAGGATAAGTATGAGTCACTGGAGCTGGCCAAAGAAAACGGCATGGGTTTCAACAAAGTGAGGTGGTGACACAACTGCCCAGCAAAAGAGAACAGAATAACACCATGAATACGTATTTTCTATTTGTGTCACAAAAGTCTCTCAATATATTTCAAAATTTTCTTCTAGGTTAATTTCATCTCTTTTCAAAGATACTGCCTAGCATTTTTTTTTCCCAAGAGGAAGTATCTCCCCTCATAACCCACACTATTTTCTTTTTTTATAATTTTTTTAATTTATTTATGATAGTCACAGAGAGAGAGAGAGGCATAGACACAGGCAGAGGGAGAAGCAGGCTCCATGCACCGGGAGCCCGACGTGGGATTCGATCCCGAATCTCCAGGATCGCGCCCTGGGCCAAAGGCAGGCACCAAACCGCTGCGCCACCCAGGGATCCCAACCCACACTATTTTCAAAAAAATTGGCTGTTCTGATAACTATACCACATACTGTACTCTTTCAGTTTCATTACGTGCAATGAAGAAAACAAAGCTTCCTTTTAATCTATGATTTCTACTTTCATTATCAGAAGTACAGAATTTGCTTTTTTGTAAGATTTTATTTATTTATTCATGAGAGACACACAAAGAGAGGCAGAGACATAGGCAGAGGGAGAGGCAGGCTCCCTGTGGGGAGCCCGATGCTGGACTCGATCCCAGGACTCTGGGATCACGACCTGACTCATGCCCTGAGCCCAAAGCAGAGGCTCAACCACTGATCCACCCAAGCATCCCTGTACAAAGTTCTATGAAAAGAAATCATTATGATGCTAGAAAATTAAGGAAATGCACTAATTATGTTTACCGTATCATAGCAAGAACTTCATGTGACAAAACAAAACAACTTATCAGGTGCCTACCACATGCTTGGATACAAGAGTCAACAAATAGGCAAGGGATCCCTGGGTGGCGCAGCGGTTTGGCGCCTGCCTTTGGCCCAGGGCGCGATCCTGGAGACCCAGGATCGACTCCCACATCGGGCTCCCGGTGCATGGAGCCTGCTTCTCCCTCTGCCTATGTCTCTGCGCCTCTCTCTCTCTCTCTCTCTGTGACTATCATAAATAAATAAATAAAAATTAAAAAAAAAAAACAAATAGGCAAGATCTCTAATGTCCGGGGCATTTAAATACCCACTCCCTTCCCAAGTACGGGAGTAAGAAAATTGATGTTCAGAGCTTAAATGATTTTTGTCCACCGCCGCACACTTTGTCAGCGGTAGAACCAGGGCAGAACACTCCAGACTCTCAGGGCAAGATGGATTTACATTATAAGTAGCTTTGCTTGATACTACATCCCCAAGTCCACAAAGCATACAGCGCTTCATTTCTAGAAAGTAAAGCACAATGACTCCTAACTTCCCTACGTGAATAATAATACATTATTATCATTAGGAAAGCCGAAACCTTATCTTCAAAAGGCAGTTATTCTCTCTCTCTTTTTTTTTTTTTTTAGTTTATTTACTTATTTGTAAATGATCTCTACACCCAACTGAGAAGGCTTGAACTCAGGACGCCGAGATCAGGAGTCGCATGCTCTTCCCACGGAGCCAGCCAAGCGCCTCTAAAAGGCACTTCATCCTTGGTGAGAATGCCTAACCTAACCTAATGGATCACAACGGCGCCCAACTAATATTCTATTATTAGGGCAGCAGATATTCAGTCTGGAATATTCATTACCTAATACTATTTCTAAAGGGTGGAGATCTTCTTTAAAATAAACGGGAAAGTTAATGCAAAATTAATGAAACGTTCGCAATAAGTAAAAGCTTCCCTGGCTCCAGGAAGGCGCTCCTGGCGAGCCGGCGCTGGGTCGCACTAGCGCGCTTCTGAGCATCAGCTGCTCCCGGCCAGCCCACGCTCCCTTCTCGCCCACTCCCGCCGCGATGGGGGATAATGGTGCCGGCCACTCCCGGCCAATTTCAATTCTCCCACGCCCGCCACAGCCCTGCGCGCCCCGGTTTCCACCTGCGGGCGCCTCGGCATCCCAGTCACGCGGGCTGCTGGCAATTAACCTTCGCCCCAGCACCGCCGCCCTCAGCCCCGCCGGGAGCCCAAGAGGCCCAAGGCGCGTCCTCAGGACCCCAGGCCGCCAGGGCCGGGCGGCGCCGCGGATACCGGGGTCACCCGCGCCGCGGAGGCCACACCCACCGGCTGCGCGGTGACAGCTCCCGGGGCGGAGGCGGGCGGTGCACACAGGTGCAGCCGCGCGTGCCGCCCCTCCCCGCCCGGGCTCGGCCCAGGTCTCGGCCCGCCGCCCGGGAGCGCCCCCGCCCGCCTCCACGCGCACCACCTGTCCGTACGCCCGGCGCGCGGCCGGGGGCGGACGCCCCGCCCGGCTCCTGAGGAGCGGACAACGGCGGCAGCCCGAGGCCCCGGGACGATGCGAGCTTTACCGGAGGGTGGGCCCCACGCAGGCTGTGTCGGTGCTCTCAATCTCCTGCAAGATCCGTTCATGCTCGGGGACGGTGCCCAGACCCTCGCTATTCTCCGCCATCTTGGCTGGAAGCTGAGGAGCCGGTGAGGCGCGGCGCCGCGCGGACGGCGGGGACGAGCAGCCTGCGGCGCGCGCGCAAGGGGGCGGGGAAGGGGGCGTGGCGAGCGGGAAGGCGGTGCGGGGGCGCGCAGAGGGTGTGGGAGGCAGCGCACGCGCACGCGCACGCGCACGCGACCGGACCCGCGGCTCAGCTCCCGCACCTGTCGGAGCGTGTGGTGCTGCCTGCAGACGCCGGGAGGGAAGACTCCTCGCCCTCCGCTCTCCCCCGCCACTTGCCCCTAGTTGCTACCTAGTGACTGGCCTGGCTTTCCCGTATATTCTTCTTGCATTCTCTGCCCCAGACCCTCTGCTAACGCGCTCGATATACCTTAGTAAAGAGGCGGTGAAAATGAAACCATCCCCCTTGATCTGTATTCAAAGCTGCGGGAACGTTTAACAAGGAAACCCGATGTACTCTGGGAGATGAGGAGTCGGTGAAAAGGAAACGTGCACTCCAAAAAATCAAAATTGTGTGTGGGAGGATTTTTTTTAGGAATGCACCGAGAAGATCCCAGCTGACGACCATGACTACTGCTCCGGTGCCTTCGTGCAGGAAGTTCACAGCGGCCAGTCAACTTGGAAATAAGCCATAAGCATCAGGAAAATTAAATAATGAAAATCTACTACACTTTATGGCAAAGATACAAGAGAGGTCCAGAGCAACGTGTGACTTCATGCCTTAGTCCCTGAAACCCTTGAACCCCACTGCCTTCCAGGGCCTGTAGCTGGGATGGGGAGGAGTGGAAGCCCTGGAGAGCGGCAGGCATCAGAAAGATGGGGAAGTGGGGTGGCTTCCGCAAAGTACTAGTGTAGAAGCGTCCTGTTTAATGACCTGTTGTGGGACGCTGGGTAAACCAGTTTGTCGTGGCCAAAGCAGCCACTGAGGAAGATAATCAGGGAGTGCAAACCTAACGCTGAGGGACAACTGTTTTCTGATCCCCATTAACCCAAGGTTCCGAACTCTCCTTTGAGTGAGCCAAGCTCTTTCCTATCCAGCTGTGTAACTCACCCCCTTCAGTGAGCTTTTACTAGAAGTTTACCTCCATCCTCCTCCCTACAAAAATCCTGGGAGGTGGTATTGCATGAGCTCGAGGGACAGGTATCCTCAATTTAATTCCCCTGCTCCTTTGCTTCACAGCTGAGTGACACTGAGCAAGAACCTAGTATCTTTTTCAGTCTCCCCGTCTGTACATGACCACATTTGTAATGTCTACCTCATATCCCTATCTCATATTAGTTTCCTATTGTTGCTGTAACAAATTACCACAAACTTAGTACCTTGAAACATTCACATCTATTATCTTCTATCTTAAGGTCTTAACCTTAATAACATCTGCAACATCCCTTTTGTCATGTATGACATATTTACATGTTTCAGGGATTAAGACACAGACCCCTTTAGGGAGCCATTATTCTGCCTGCCACAGAGAGTAAAGGCCCAATAAATATTACAAACATATTTAAATGCCCTCCTTTCCATTAATCTGAAATTCCTGACCTCCCTGAAAAATTCAACTCAAATATATCTCCTTCTTTAAGAGTCCCCTATCTAATCATGACCTTCTCTACTAACTCTAGATTCAATTTAGCACACTTGTCCACTCCACTACCAACTGTTTTAATAGTGTGTACTTGTTTTGATTAGTTCCTTTTCATACATCTGTGAGTTTTGTTTGTTTTTGTACACTTGGCCCCCAGGGAATCAAAATGCAACTGACTTCAGTACATACTGGCTTCGAGGGTTAAGGAAGCTCTGCTACATCCAACTGCCCATTCTACCAAGAAACCTCATCAACAAGCATGTTTCCATTGTCTCAATGGTGAAGAAGAATCCAGATCTTCCCTGGGAAATCCCACTTTTTCAAGCTGCAAAAATATGCAAAGACAAAAAAAAAAAAAAAAAAAAAAACCCTCTTCCCAACAATGCCACCAGCATTGTCACAGTATGTTAAAGACCTTAGGTTGAGAGATGACACTTTTTTTTTAATTTTGTGGTTTCCTATAGTTCCCCCATGGAGTTCTGCATGTGGCTGAAAGCTGGAAGGATTTTAAAACTAGACAATGCTGAAGCTCTGAAGCCATTGGAAAGAATTCAGGATTAGTTAGAAAGTAGCATCCCAAACAGGTCTAAGCATAAGGTACGAGTTTGATTAATCTGTGATTGGTAACAATTTGGAATTAGAACAACATCAAATTTTAAAAAGTTAGTCTTTTTTAAACTTGCCCTTTACATATTGACATCAAATGTAAACATTTTATATGGTTGTATTCAGTTGCCTTAATAGAAATCTGTACTAATAACAATGTATACCTCAAATTCCATGATGCCCACTTTTATCAATGGCTTCAATGCAAGAAACAACATTTATGGATTTTTGTTTTTAAATGGTTGAATTTTATCCTTGAATCAAGCCAGAGCCCAGTACCTGGACCCCATTGTTTGAGCCCTTCAAGCCATTATTTCTAGAGTAGTAAGAAAAGGAATATTTTTCTTAGCTGGCTGGATCTACAAGGATCGAGGCACCTGGTAACTGCCTTGTGGGTACAGCCATTGAGAGAAGAAAATAAACCTTTTGAAAATCAAACCTGAAATCAAAACATATGAAATGAAGATAAATTTTTGTATCTTCTTACAAAGAGAATAGGAAGCCAGTTTTCTCTGCAGGAAATGGCAGACTATTTTAGCTCGGTTGATGTGTGTGGCCAGAATTCATTATTCTGAAGGGTAAAGCAAGGTGAAGAGAACAGGGCAAGGGGTACAGGCCACCTTCTTATTTAACAACTGTTTGCTGGTGGAGTATTCCCAAGCACTCATTACCGAAGACCTTTTCCTCATGGACCCAAACCCAGCCCCTATTCTAGGAAGCCAGCCCTCCTTTGGCACTCCAGGCCTATTTCAACACCTGCCCATAGAGATTACTTCAACATACGCAGCAGTATCTTCCCCTCAATTCAAGTCAAGACAGAAGGAAGTCCATATACTACTTCTCCTTCTGAAACAGCTTTTGCTGGTTCCGTTTGTGACTTCTGACAGTTCCATTAGCACCTGAAGTTTTTTTTTTTGCTAAGAATTTAAAGCTAAACATTCTAAATAACTATATAAATTTTAATTTTGGAAAGAGATATAACAAATACATAAATGTGCAAAAAGGAGCCTATTCTAAGTGGTACATTTCTAAAATATAAGGAATTTCAGCTATAGAACAAAATAAAAACCATAATAGCTATATATTAAGCACTATTTGCTAAGCCCTTTATACTATCTAATTTAATCTTTAACTTAACCAGTAATTTAACTGGGAATGTAATTAGTACTAATTTTTCTGAAATCTAATTTAATCCTATGGGGTATTTTCACTATCTCCAGTTTAATATGAGGAAACAGACTTACAGAAATTAAGTCACTTGTCCAAGGCCACACAGCTAGTGAGTTGAAGAAGATGGAGCTATTAACCAGTTCCTATTTCTATCATTAATAAAAGTCAGCCAATAATCATATTCCAATGTTGTTTTACCCATGGAATAGATTATTTAACCAGTCTGGTCTATGGAGACTGGAGGGTAGTGGGGCACACACAGGCAGATTACACAAGCACGTTGGGTCATTTTTGGGTCAGTAGATAACTGACTTCCAGAGATTCACTCAAAACCTCACTTCAGGACTCCTGGGAGAAGAAAGGTAAACCAGGAAGACTGGTAGGACAGGAGATGCATTGTGTGTCCAGTAGGAAACTAACCACCAAAGTAAGGATTTAACCTGTAAATAAACTCTTAATCATTAATGACTTATACTTTAAGCCACTTGTCTGCAGACTCATAATCAGTCTTGGTAAAACCCCTCCCTGAGAAGGAGGCTATAGAATGCAGCTGCCCTGGTCTGGCATTTAACTACTTGGATTCAAATTGCAACTCATCTTTCACTAGATGTCGGGCCTCCAGAGAGCTAGTTAACTTAACTAAGCCCCAGTTTCTTCAAGTGTGAATTAGAGAACGTAACAGCTCCTAGGTCACCAAATTGTGTGGCAATTAAAGGAGATAATATTTGCATAATGTCTAGCCGAGAGCTCAATCAACATTAGCATTAGAGACCAGGACTATCAGACATTTATTTTTAAACCAGGAAGCCCAGAATTTAGCTTCCTTTTTGATAAAATACAAATAAAAAACAGACACAAAAATGTCCTTTTTTTCTAATCATTAACAAAGTATCCTACTTTTATGTCAAGATTTTCTGAACCTGAACTTCATTTTTTTAAATGCTTGGTATATGGAAATTGCCTGAAATTTGTTTCCTGTTGTAGAAGAGGAAAAGGGACCATGTCCTTGGGTTAGACTCTTGGTTCCAGATCCACTTAAGTGACCTCTCCAGATCTCAGAGAAGTCAAGTGCCTCTTTGTTGTCCTTGGAGGCAGTGCTCATCCTTTGAGGCACATACTGTGGTGGTAAACAAATCATTTGAGTCTCCACGTCTAGGCACAGGGACAATATCTGTTTTGTTGGCGCTCCAGCTCAGTTAATAGTTTTAACTGAACAATCCACATACAGATACTTCTGATGTTAAGCTTGATGTTGTGAAACCACGTTTCATAAGGTAGGGCACATCTCTACAGAATGACTCTCCTCCCCACACTTGGGAACCCTAGAGCTGACTTCCTGATCATCATCTTCTCAAGACTTGGCTAATATCATTCAGATATTTCCTAAGGAGTTTAAAAGCCCTCATTATATAGCTGTAGAACTGTATCAACATGTAAAGGAGAGGCTATCTTTATACATGGGCTTTAATATCTAACCTTCCCGGTGCCTTTTAGCCCCTCTCTGGAGCCGGCTTGATAAAGGCCATCCTTCACCTTCTGCCGTGTTGGTGCAATGACCTCAAGTGGCCACACTCAGTAAGTGCATGAGAATTATGAACCAAGCCCAGCCAGGTCTCCGAGAATTCCTGCTGCAAAAACCATGTCCAGGAATCTAATGTTCCATAAAGATCTGGACCCCGTGGTGGAGA